TTTTGTTTTTAAAAATATTTTCCCCAGAAATTTCTTTTGTCCTTTATTTGGCGCATAAATATTTACTATTGTGTACTTCTTGCCCTCTAGTTTAAACTTTACTACCAAGTACCTACCATTCCCATCTGTCTTCCTCTCCACATCCTCTATTTTAAATTTCTTCTGTAGCAATACTGCTACCCCTTTGCTCTTGTTATTACATCTGACTTCTGCTAAGATCTCCCAGGATGGGTCAGCCAGCAATGGCTTACTGTCCCTCTTTTTCTTTAGTGTTTCCTGAAGACATAATATATCTACCTTTTGTTCCTTTGCTATTCTAGCTATTCTAAACCTTTTAAGATTGGAGGATAAGCCATTGACATTAAGAGAAAGCAAGGTTATTGTTTTATCCATACTCTTTATGGTTCTGGGCTTTAGGTCCCCATGGCTGCGATTTTTCCAAACCCTTAGTTGACCGTCCCTTCACCCCCCCGCCCCTGTGGTAGAGAAATCCCCTTGAGAGAACAATTCCTCTCCTCTCTCCACTTCATGGAGTGCACACATCCCCTCCTCCCCCTTATACTTATAATATAAACATTAGCTTAAAATTAAATGGGTACTTCCCTTTAGGTGGTTCCTTCAAATGCCTCTGACCTGGACCTTTCCCCCCCTCTGTCCGACGTTCCTTCCTCTGCATCTGTGTCTTCTTCTAGGTCTGGGCCTTCTTCCATTTCCTGTTCTCTTATATCTTCATCATTTATTCCAATTTTTTTGAGCAGTTCTTTGGCCTCCTGGGCATTCCGTGCCATGAGCCTCTTCCCTTCTTGAAATATAATTATTGTGGCTGGATAGCCCCATGTGAATTTTATATTGTTTGAGTAAAGTTTTTGGGCATAGGGACGCATCAGACTTTTTTCCTTCAGAGTTTCTTGACAAAAATCGCGTCTGAGCCAAATCCTCCTGCCCTTGAAGCTTAAATCCATCTTCTTTTTTAGCTCTTTATATATTTGCTGTTGTATTTTTTCCCTAGAGAACTTAATAATAACGCCCCGTGGGGCTCCTCCCTTACTTCTCCCCTGGAGGTGGTGTGCCCTCTCAATATTTTCTGGCTGAATCTTAATGGCCTGAGCCTCCAGCCAGCTCCTTAGTGTTTCCTTGAGGTTTTTGGCAGCAATCTCCTCAGAAATTCCAGAGATAATTAAGTTGGCACGTCTGTTTCTATCAGAGATATCAGCAAGCTGACCAACCAAAACCTTAATCTTCTGCTCATTTTCTAAAGCTTTATTCTTAGCCAAGTGAGCTATTTTTTAAACATGGGATATATCTTCCCCTAACTTAGCCAATTCCTGTCTTACTGCTTTAATCTCTTCTGAAATCTTATCTTGAGATTGAATAAATGTATTCTGCAAAGCTGTAATCTGTTCCGAAAGATCTTTAATGCTTCTTGCCATTTTTAGACGTTAATTAGGGCTTAATAAGCCGGCCGTTTGTTTCCCTGCGTTTGCTTGCTGAGAAAGAGTGAGTAAACTCTTATCTCTGACCTTCTGGTTTGGCACAGCTGTTATTTAATGTTTAGCACCTAATTATATGCTAGGTTTGAAGTTGTTTTGCAGTTGTTTAAGCTATAAATACCTTAGTGTTTGGAGGAGCTCGGAGCCAGGCGTCCTGCCGAGTTAACGCATGCGTGCAACCGCTTGCTTTGTTTGAGACATTTTGCAGGGGGAACTTAACTGCCTGAACTTTCTAAAGTTCTTTCCAGTGATGGCTAGTTGATAGATTTTACTTTGGAATATATGATTCCACCCCCCCCCAATGGATTATTCACACCATAATTTTTATAATTTCCTACTGTATATGCTCCAGCTGTTGAAATATATCTTAAATGGATTTTGTTCTCTCAGCAATCCTGTGAGATCAGGCCAGTGAGAAAGGTTTTGTCTAGAATCGCAATACATGCTGCTTGGGATTCAGCATGCAGGGTCAAATGCTCAGGGCTCATAAATCATAAGAGCAATCTTATGATTGCTCCACATCCCTCCCTTCCTGTGGAAAACAAAAAGTGAAATATTTTCTGCATCCTCCTCTAGTCATTCACAAAGTGAGCTGATCCTTGAACAGAGAACAGAAACCCTAGCAGTGCCCGGGGGGGGGGACAACATGGGAAGTCTTGGGTTCCATTCTTCGCTTGTAGGCCTTCCAGGGGGTATATCTGGCCACTGTGTGAAATGGGATGCTGAGCTAGGTGGGCCATTGATCTGATACAGCACAGTTGCTCTTTTGTTAGTTATTTGACCCCTTATCCTTGGTATGTAGGTTAATTTTTCTGCTTTTAGCATAATTCCTTTTAGTGAGTATCCTTTCATTTATAACAAAGAAAGGTAGAACAAAAGAAAGAAAAGTATAAATTACAAAAAAAAAACCCAAACCAACATTGTATGGATGTGTTTGTATTATACAAAAACTTATTTCACAATTATGCTTTCCCACTCTTTTTAAACAGGTCCGGAATATTGACTATTCAGGAGAAGAGGTCCAAGTGACTGCAACAGATGGAACTCAATGGACTGCTCAAAAGGTCACATCTCATCTCATTCCTTTCCCAATTCTGACATTAATTTCTGAGAAATAAAGTTAAAGTTGAGCAAAGTTGAACAAAGTTAAACAAAGATGCAATTGCTTAATTACATGAGGAGTCCATTCCTTAGAAATATTGAAAGAGGCAAGGACTATCCTTGGGCCCATTTATTTTGAACTACCCCCATCTTGTGTAAGATTAGCCTTTTGGAAGGCAAGGTACTCAATCAAGTAGTGATGGCTTAACTCCATGGATTTCTGGATGATGTCTGATTATATGGATCTTTTTTATTGGGTTTCAACCTGCTTGTGGAACCCACACACTTGCCTGTTGGATGGCCTTTGCTGGGCAGCTGACATGGGGAGTGTGTTCCTGTTAGTAACACCTGGACTGGTTAGTGGCTTTCAATACCACTAGGGGGCAGTGTTTTGCAGTGGCTCTGGTGGGTTCCAGAAAGTGGTGTTTCAAAACTATTGGACAATCTACTCTCTGGCATTTGAGGTTCCACAGGGTTTCCTCTTGTCTCCCATGCAATTCAATATCTACATGCACTGCTGGGAGAGATCATTCAGAGATCTGGAGTAAAGTTTCACCAGTCAGGACAGAACCAGCCAAACTTGCCTATTCTTAGTTTATACATAAGAAACTGCCATATACTGAGTTGGACCACTGGTTTGGCGTAGTGGTTTGGTGTCATGGTTAAGTGCGCGGACTCTAATCTGGGAGGAACAGGTTTGATTCCCCACTCCTCCACTTGCAACTGCTAGATGACCTTGGGCAAGCCATAGTTCTGTCAGAGCTGTTCTTGAAAGAGCAGTTCTCAAAAGAGCTCTCTCAGCCCCACCTACCTCACAGGGTGTCTGTTGTGGGGAAGGGAAGGGAAAGACGGGGTATAAATCCAGTCTCTTCTTCTTCTCTTTACGTAGCTCAATACTGTTTGTCTGGGAACAGATCTAAGGAATCTCAGGCAGAGAAAGGTCTTTCTCAACTCCTAGTGCCCAAGATCTTTTAACTGGAGGTGCTAGGGACTGAATATAGAATCTCTTACTTTATAACATCTGTCCATTCATGCTAAGGAGGACTGAGGTCTAGAACAGAAGGAGGTGGAGGACTGAAGTCTGTAACAGAATAGAAGGTTCTCCTACAACAAGACACCAGAGAAAACAGGTGTTCTAGGGCTAAGGTAGAAAGATATGGTTGTACCAGCAACTGTTGAATCTTTTTCCGCCCCAGGCTGTTATTGGCTGGAAAACAGTCCTTGATTCCAGCTAAACGTAGGACATAAAGGAAGTGTAGACTTTCTTATAAAGGCAGTCCTGAAGTCACTTGGTGGTTATCGTCCAATTTTAGCATCTTGGAACGGGAGCTCATACGCCTAAGACTTCAAAGACTAGAATGATCTGCCGCCGCAGAAATCCTCTAAGAGTAGCCACTACATTGAGCTCCTTTAGCTGCACTTTAACTAGGTTTGTCCCTTTCTTCCCAGGTTTTAGTAGCTATACCTTTGGCTATACTTCAGAAAGGCGCCATTCAATTTAACCCAGCTTTGCCAGAGAGAAAAATGAAAGCCATCAATAGTTTAGGAGCGGGAGTCATTGAGAAGGTAAGAATTTTGATTTGGATCCAGGGATACGACGTCCTTCTGGCTATCCTGTTCTACAGGATTCAAAAGAACTACCTTGCAGTTTATTGTCTGGAAGCAGTGTGTGCTTCCACTCGTTGAGATTTACAAACATACATCACTGCTTCAAAGCTCAAAGAAAGAATAACGGTGTTGCTTGTTTAGGGATATAGCTGTCTCATATTGGAGGCTTGAGGTGAATAACCAAATAGCCTCCAAGGGTACTTTAGTAGGGAATGTGGTATATATTTTTTAAAAAAACTTATTAAAAATATGGGAACTTACAAAGCGGTTTGTAAAATGCAACAGGTCTGTGACTGTTCTGACTTCTGCTCTTTTTGTCTAGATCGCGCTGCAGTTTCCTTACAGATTCTGGGACAGCAAAATTCAAGGAGCTGATTTTTTTGGCCATATTTCCCCTAGTTCCAACAAACGTGGTCTGTTCAGTGTTTTCTATGACATGGACCCACAGGTATTGTGTATACCGTGTTATGTATACTAAATACCAAATTGTCTGCCTTTCCTATTCTTTCGATCGGATATAAAATACTGGAAACAGGGCATGCTTTCAAATATGTTCTTCCTGTCTTTGTTTAAGTGTAAATTGATGCTTAATGAATTCCCTGTGGAATTCTCAAAAGTTGAGCAGGCTTATAATGCAGTCAATAAGAATGTCTGATGGCTTTGTTGACTTTTTAAATTAGTTTCTTAGTAAGCTAGCATGGTGTAGTGATTAGAATGTCAGACTAGAATCCGGGAGGTAAAGGTAAAGGTTCCCTTGCTCGAAAGCCAGTCGAATCCGACTCTAGGGTTGCGGTGCTCATCTCTGTTTCAAAGCCGAAGAGCCAGCGCTGTCCGAAGACGTTTCCGTGGTCATGTGGCTGGCATGACTAAACACCAAGGTGCACGGAACGCTGTTACCTTCCCACCAAAGTGGTACCTATTTATCTACTTGCAATTTCTTGCTTTCGAACTGCTAGGTTGGCAGGAGCTGGAGCTAGAGATGGGAGCTCACTCCATCATGCGGCACCCGGGTTTCGAACTGCTGAACTACCGACCTTCCACAGCCTGCAGTTCAGCATCTTAACCACTTGAGCCACTGCAGCCATGGAAGCCCGCAGAATCCGGGAGACACAGGTTCAAATTCCCACTCTGCCATGGAAGCTCCTGGGGTGACTGTGGGCCTGTGTCTCTCTTGCCTTACCTCTCCCACAGGGTAGGATAACATGGCGGAAGGCAGACAATGTTGTAAACCTCTTTGAATTCCGAAAGCTGCTTGGGGGGGGGGAAGTAGGGGTATAAATAAATAAAACAATAATATGGACACTTTGTCAAAATTGTCCCATTGTAGGCACACAGGATATGAGTATTTCTCAGTGAGTCTACAACTTAGATAGGTGCCTATAATCTTTTCCATTTTATAAGTAAGTCGCGTTAGTGTAGAAGGGGGTTATTGAGGAGGGAGGCTTTCGATTACAGAACTACAGTATGTTGTCATTGCCCTTATCCTTGTATCTGTTTTGCCTTTAGCGTAAATGCTGTGTTCTGATGTCTGTCATCACTGGCGATGCCGTTTCAAGTATCAAGAACATGGAAGATAAGCAGGTTCTTCAGCAGTGCATGATTGTCCTCCGTGAACTGTTTAAGGAACAGGTAGGTCTGTTTTCTCAAACAGCAAGCATGGATGCTCTTTGAAGAATTCAATAGGAAACACGTGGCTATTTGTATTTTGATTTAAAATGCTCATGGATCTATTTAAAACATAATACATTAGCGTAATACTCTAGGAGTATTAAATAGGCATTTAAAACATACTGTACTATGCATTTGGTCTACTCTCTGTTTATTAGATTCTGTGATACATTTGTTTCTATAATGCAGGAAGTGCCAGACCCTGTCAAGTATTTTGTGACACGGTGGAACAAAGAGCCTTGGATCCAGATGGCATATAGTTTTGTAAAGACAGGTGGCAGTGGTGAAGCTTATGACATCCTAGCAGAAGACATACAAGGAACCATCTTCTTTGCTGGCGAGGTAAATTTGATTGTGTGCCTGATTATCTATTGAAGGATTTTGTTTCTGCTGAAACAACCTACAAGCTGAAACAGATGATAAACCGTTATCTATGGAGGTATTATGGGGAGCCAGTAAAACCAGAAATAGGTGCTGCACTTGAAATAAGTTTCCGATCCCGTAAAAATGAGCTGCTTTACATTGAGTTGGGACAGTAGGGTGAGTGGCAACAGATCTTTCGGTTTTTTGGTAGAAAGATATATCTCACCCCAACTGCCTGGATCATGTATGTGTTAGAGATGGCAGGGATTGGACATTCAAATTCATTTTAGCCTGGTTTTGGAACTGAAATTGCCTGATTGTGTTGATCAATAACATTGTTAGACGCAGATGGGAAATATGTCTTTGATTCTCCTGGACTTTCAGCAGTATTTGACACATCAGCCACATTATTTTTATGGACCCCCTTATTCTTTGAGACCGTTGAAACCACTGCTTTGTAATGAAGGAGCTCCATCTGCAGAGGGTGGTTTTCTCACCTCCTTCCTGCCATAGCCCAGAATACCCCTTGGGGGACGGGGAATGCTCAGGACCAGCACTGGGGGGAGCATTTGAGGCTGTGGCAGGAGGGAAGAGACAAAGCCATACTCTGTAGGTAGAAATCCTTCCATCCACAGAAATGCTTTATTAAATGTAAACCACTGGTTAACATGAAGGACTGGTTAACATGACCGATAGTGCAGCTGAGGGCACTTGACACAGACCCTCCTCCTCTTGGCTTCCCGCAGCCACCAACTTTCCCCAACTGTACCAAAGTCTTATTTCAGCACACTCTGCCAAGGTCATGTGCCAAAGGCTCTCTTTTTTTTAAAAAAAGAAACAGTATTTCCATTTTCCTAGGGATATTCTTGCCATCATGGGGAGGGGCCCCCCTCCCGAGCCAGGACTTATTCTAGTCCCTTTCCCCCTTTTGGCTGGCTGGATTTATATTTGGGAGCAGAGAGGAGTTCAGCCTCTTCTCATCTTCCATTTTTTGTCTGTCAGAACTCTCCTTTGGGTACTCACTCTGACTGTTAAACATGCCAAAGCAGCCAAGCACTTGTGCGATCTTTCCAACAGTCCCGTCCCAATAAACCCAGAGATGAAAAGTTTAAAAACATAATTATCTGTACATAACTGGGGGACGAGGAGGTGGTGTTGCAGTGCTCATTCGAGATTAATGTCCCTCTAATAAGGATGGGTTCAAGACCGAGATGATAGAAATCAGACATCTGACATCTCCCATCTGTCCCTGACAAGGGGTTAGAGACCTCTGCATCCTGCCACTGAGATCTTGACACAGACCTGTACTTCCTGCTTGCCCCATTTACTGGATATTCTCCCTAGTTTGGGAATTCCCTACCTGGCCCAATCAGAACTTTTCTGACCAATCACTTCAAAAGTGATAAAAGGAGTATCACACACTGCACCAAAATGATCTGTGTTCAAGAGGTTGAGCCAGCCACTAATAATTTATCAAGACAATTGACAGCCTGGCCCAAATGCTTAAATTTGGCCTGTTGATTCTGCCATTTTTCTCAGCTCATCTGGTCACCATAAAATGTCACTTCCTTGGAATGTAGGTTGGGGATCTTATCCTCCCTCCTTTCTGGAAGAGACGCCTGTCTTGTTCTAAACGCATATTCACCCTTTCCTAACAACATCCACTTAAATGTTTGTTTCCTTCTAATCCCAGTGAGGCCATGGCTTCTTTGAAATGGATTTAGTAATGTGTAAATTAGGCTAGAGTGAGAAACTGAAGGTGGGTGAGTCAGTTAATCCAGGGCTTCTTTTGGATAGAGTCATATTCTCTCTGAAAGATCCAAGTTTGCAGCTTTGAGGTACCCGAGTCTGGTGCTGGATTCTTAGTAGAATCTGTGATTGATGCACTCCATCCTTTCCTGGGAAACAGATATCTGGCCACAATTAATGCACATCTTGGTAATTAAATTAGAAAAGTGCAGTAAACCCTCACAGAGTGTATGAGTGCAGTGAAGAGGTCACTGATGGTCTTCAGTGGAAGAGAAGTCATTGGGTTGGACCCAGGCTAAAGTTTTTTGTGGCAGAATGGAATTTACTTCCCTCCCTCTGCAGCCCATTGATTGCCCCAAAATGCTGCTCCTGAGGGGTAGGGGGCCTAGAGAAATTACATGGGGGGGGTCTGGAGTAGGAAGGGGGAAGAGGTGGAAATTGCCAATTTAGTCTGAAGTTAACCAATAATACCTCGTCTGAATGGCTACTACCCTGACCTGAATAGCCCAGGCTAGCCTGATCTCATCAGATCTTGGAAGCTACGCAGGGTCGGCACTGGGCAGTATTAGGAATAAAGACCACCAAGGAATGCTAGGGTCCTGATGCGGAGGCAGGCAACGGCAAACCACCTGTGAACATCAGTGCCCTTGAAAACGCATGGGAGTGCCATAAATTAGCTGTGACTTGATGGCAAAAAAAGGCTACCAGTTAATGTCCTTAATGTCCTTTTGGGCCCTAGAGAAGCCAGGCTAACAGTGACGAGGGTCAGGGCCTTCTCAGTGGCAGCTCCATACTGGTGGAATGAGCTCCCAGAAGACAACAGGGCCCTGCGGGACCTCTCACAGTTCCACAGGGCCTATAAAATGGAGCTCTTCCACCAGGCCTTTGATTAGTGAGTCGCATCCATCAATCTGAGGTCCTGGCTCTAATATCATACCAACTTGAATAGCCCGTGCTCCGTCGACAAGTCCCAGACTATGATACTAGCTGACTGTCAGATGCCTGCCATCGTGACCTAACCTGTGCTAGCTCTTTGTGTACTGTCTGTTAAATTTATATTTATTGTGATTTTATGTAATTATCTGTTTTATCTCTGGTCTAATATTATGTAAGCCGCCCTGAGCCTGCCTCGGCGGGGAGGGCAGAATATAAATACGATAAATAAATAAATAAACAGTCAGTCTTGGTCATGGATTGCTGAAGGGGTGCCTTTTCTGTCTTCCTTCCTGTGCCCTCATAATCTGCTAGAAAAACCCTGCTGCAGTTACCCCTGCCATCGGAGGCGCAGTAGGCCTCCTCTGTGGGTTGGCACCCTTTCTGCAGGTTTCCCTACCAAGGGAGAGACCTGGCCAGCTCCCTCTATGCTCGTAGGGGAAGGATGTCATTATTGGTAGTTCACTGGCTTTAATGTGGGGTTTTTTGCTGGTCTTTAGTGTGGTTTTAGGGCGTTGTTACTTTAAATTAGGTTTTACGTTATGTAATTTGCTTTTATGATTGAGCTGCTTCAGGAGACTATACTTTGGCTAGAAATAGGGTAGGAAAATAAGTATTTACAATAACTTCTGCCAGTAAATTGATTCTTCTTAGGAAACCTGTTAAAAAGTCCAGCTTGGAAATGATCCAGTGCAACTGGCCCAACTCCCTGCTCTGAGAAAGACTGGGGTGGATCCTGCCCGTCCTACCGCTCCACCGAGCAAAGCTTGAAACCTTCATCTAGCATAAGAGACCATCCTCCAGTGGAAGAGCTGCTTAAATTGGACGAGGGCTCCTTGGAAGATGGTTGGATCCACTTCCAGTCTCTTGTGCCAGCGAATCCCATTTTTAAAAAACATAGGATTTCACAATCTAGGCAGCTCATCATACCAAATCAAAGTACTGTGTAAATTATAATCTCTCCACTGTGAGAATACCCAATAATTCTATCCTTAAATATTAAATTCTGTTTGGACTTTTACTTGATATACGTTTCTGACCAAATCAAAACGAGAAACTTTCTGTGTGTGCCGGTGCAAGCATTATGTATTACTGATGCATTTTTCTTTTCATATAACATTTTCTCAGATTTCTTTCTCTCTCTCTTTTAAATAGGCCACTAATAGGCACTTTCCGCAGACAGTTACAGGAGCATATTTGAGCGGCGTCCGAGAAGCAAGCAAGATAGCAGCATTCTGAAGGCTAAACTACTGTTTACAGACTTTTTTTTAAAAAAAACTTCCATCTTTTGTTGTGCATTACTTTTTTCCACCTGAAGATGCAATTATGTCCATGTGTCTCAGCATGGGATGCTAACTGATATATGAACAAGGTCTGTGGACATTTGAGTGCCCAGACCCGTATATTTTCCTTTGTGGTCCTTCTGAGGTTTAGTAATGCAGAATACTTGATTATGACAGTGTTTTCAAAATGGCAGCGGGCAAACTGTTGAATAGCAAATGGTGGAACTGCAAGAAAGGTATCGGCTGCCTCCAATCATGCTTTGAATAATGTAGATAATTCCTTTTAGATCAGATGACTGGAACTGCTTACAAACATAGCAGTGGAGTTTGCTGGTAATCAAAAGAGATATATAGAACAGTCTCATAGAAATCTCATTTTATTGTCATAGGAAATGTCAAACACCTTATTGTATGTATATAATAGGGTGGGGCTTGAGATTTGCTGATCCTTGAAACAGACCAGCTGAAACCAGTAAATCATTTGTGTGTAGGTAGAGTCATTTATATGTATGGTTGTTACGCCATGGTGAGGGCTTGGCATTATAAGACTTTTGTGAGCTGTACTAGGTAAAACAAGATGCTGTCATCCTGCTGCATTAAGCATATTTGAATTCCACCAAGGTCCATGACAGAATTAAGCAGAGGTTTTCATCTTTTCCGCTAAAATCAGCAAAGGCTGGCACATAAGTACTGAAGTATAGAGAGCCCAGCAGTGTACTTTGTTTATGGGATCACAGCAGAGAGAGGAGTGTGTGGGGGGGAAACTCTGTTAAATGATGATCTTTACAGTTAAACTGCTGTCATTTTATTAGTGTAACAGAAAATATTTAGTGAGGAATGGAAAATATGAAAAGTGTTGTATATAATTTCCCTGTATTTCCTGCTCTTTAAAAATTTAAATAGGCAAAATGGTGATCATGTAAACTAGTCTCTTTCGTAGGTAGGAGTCCTGCTGTTACCTGAAGTGCTAATTTGTTATATCAGGATTCAAAAACAGACAGATTTGCACTCGGGGACAGTCTGAAGTGAACACTACAAGCCTCTTTGAAGCAAAGCTCTTGTGCACTTGAAATTAGGCATTACTTGTAAGGATTTTGTGGTAATTGGTACAAAGACAAAATGGAAGTTCATTCTGTAAATATGCAACCATTTGCTCTATAAATAGTTGTAAATAATAGCCTTGTAAAAGTGCTTAAGCAACAGAAACACTAATCCATAAAAAACCTGTTGAAATAATGGAAACTACTTTTTTAAGCAGTTATTTAAATATCATTCAGGAAGTCAGAGGGTTCACATAACGATCCCAAAGAATTTTTTAAAAACCTTGCGAAGTTTATTTTCTGAGCATGCTCATTTTCTGTTGTGTACATACAAAAATGCCTTGTAAATAATCTGGGGTAACATTAAAAAAGCAATCTCTTCTGGCTGTGGTGCATGATGTCTGCAGTGTGCAGCTCATATGACTTAATGGTGACACAATAAAACTGGAAAGTGCTCGCTTGGTTGTGCTGACATTAATCCCTCTTGGAGTAAATGGGGGGGGGGATTCTACAAGCCTTTTCAGTATGAATAACTGATAGATAATAAGGTGTGATAGAAGTACATTAAGCTGCTACACAGCAGGCTCTAGGAAGCAGTCTTGCTTTTGAAAGCCTGAAACAGGAAACCAGATAAATCTCTCTTCAGCTCTGCATGCATTCTCCATGTCGCTGCTTTTCAGTTGCCGTAGAGAAAACTGTCATTATGCTCAGTAAGGTTATGGCACTACTTTGGGAAAGGGAGGGGCAAGTGGCGAGGCTGGAGAAATGCTGTCAGTTAAGGAGAAAATGCTGACCTTCACAGACCAGTGGTCTGATTTAGTGCAAAACAGCTTCCTGCCCATTCCCCTGAAGTCCTGTGTACGAGTGACTTCCTTGCCTCCACTGACCTAGCGGAAGCCTGCCTTTCACTTCCCTGTTGCACACAACACCTTGGGGTTTTCATAACCAGCTATACTTCCCATTAGGCCTCACAAAGATCATGGCTGCCCTGGCCATGTACCTTTGCTGATGGAGAAACCATGAATACGAATAACTGGAGTTTCTGTGTTCTCCCCTCCGGCCAGCAAGGGAACCACAGTGGCCCAATAGCCTAGCTCAAGCCAAGTGGTTCAAGGGCAAGAGGGACCTCAGTCTGTACTGGCTGGCTGATCAGACAAACTCTCCAGGTCTTCAAACAGCAGGTGGTGAGAAGCCCTGCCCCTCACACTAACAGACACCACAGTGTGGAATGGGAGTCCCTGACTTTCCACCCAGAGGCTGCTCTTCTGCTGCATGGCAGGAACACCACACACCAGTTACCTTGGCCTAACAGCCCAGTGGGGAATTCAACATCAACACTGACTTGGCTCAATCTTTGGTTATCTGAATTTGCAGTAGTGGGTCTGAACCACAGATTCAGTAGCAAACGATTAGCCTCAGAATGGCTGAGACTTGGGTCACTCTTGTCCTTTTCAAGCACCTGCACAGACAGACAGGGATGCCAGCCTCCGGGTGGGACCTGGGGATCCCCTCAGAATTACAGCTCATCTCCAGACTGCAGAGATCAGTTCTCCTGGAGAAAATGGCTGCTTTGGAGGGGGGACACTGTGGCATTGTACTCCACTGAGGCCCGTGCCATCCCCAAATTTCTAGAAGTTTCCCAACCTGGACCTGGCAACCCTAGTGGCAGATGAAGAGCAAAGCTCTGTGTCCTGCTTGAGGAACAGGCAGGGCAGGTGCTGGGGATCTACCTACCATCCTCAGTACAGTGTTGGCTGTAGAGGGGGCTGGAGATCTAAGGCTCCCACAAATACCCTCCTCCACCAGTAGAAAGCAGGATCTATCTTCCATTCAGTTATCTTTCTTTGCACTACCTGTCATATCTCTATAGTTTCTACAGAACAAAACATGAAATGAACTACAAAATGTTATGCATAACTTTGAAAATTATAGACAATCTATTCTAACATATCCAAGCCAAGACACTCTGGATCCTTTGAAGCAGGGGTGCCAGATGAGGCCCGCAGTGGAACTGGCTGTCGTCGTCTTCTTTCTTTAAATCCCCGGAGGGATATTTTTTATTTTGCAAATACTACCAAAACTACAAAGAAATATTAGGGAAGGGACTACAACTAATGATAAAGGAAAGCAAACTACACTAAACTAAAACCCCAAGAGGAGATCTTTTCACTGTTAGTAAAAATGTTAGTACGATTAGTTTTACTATCACAATATACTTGTAGAGTTCTTGCTTATAACAGTTCGCTATTTATATGTTATTTTGTTAGTTGTTATGAGAGAAGTCTCTGATCATCATCTTATTCTTCGCTTCAGAAGGCCATTTTCCAAGTCCTTCTGCCTTTACTTCGGCTTTCTGTCTCTAAAATCTGGCAGGTCCTGCACCCTTCTCTTCCGTTCCCAAGGTAGCAGTCACTAGACTTCGATTCTCCCTCTTTAGACTCATCATCTGTCCCCAGCTGACGTTTCAAAAATTCTTTAGCTTTAAAAGTGGAATCTATCTTCTCTCTTCTATCGTTGATCTTAAAGATGACACCCTCCAGGACCGCCCATCTATACGATATTCCATTAGTTTGAAGAAAAGAAATTAAGTCCTTGAAATTTTTCCTCTTTTGTCTGCTTTCAAATGGAATGTCCTTTAAAGTTTTAATGATTACATTTCCCATTTTCAGTGGAGTTGCTGATGTTGCTTTTAGAATGGCATCTCTAGTTTGTCTTCTTGAAAACCTGACCATTATTTCTCCAGGTAAGCTATTTTTTTAATGTAATTGGAGTATGCCCTATAGGCTGACTCCATTTAATTTACAAGCTCATCCGCTGTTAAGTGATGATCTCACTGAGCACCTTTTTCAAGTCTTCCCGATCCGTTTCAGGAACTCCCTGAAACCTGAGAATCATGTTAGCTTTTTCTATCTGTAGCTGCAAAACTAGATTCTCTTGGCAATTCTGCTTCGTTTCCACATCTCCCAGCCTTTTCTTCAACTTCTTGCTTGTGGTGTCTATTTCTTTAATTTTCTTGTTTGCCTGCTCCACTTTTTTCTCTGTTTCATTCAGCTGAAGCTGCTGTGCTGCAAAGTTTTTATTCATCACAGTCAATTGCTGGTTTTGTTTACATCACTGTTCCATCACTGGCTTAAGCATATCCGCCAGGAGTTTGTAGACATCTGCTCCCTCTTCCGGTTTCGGACTCTGGCTGCCTGGCTTCGTTTTAAACTTTCTCTGCTGGGCCGCCATCTTTCAGTTTTGTTTACAGTTTCAACCGCTTCCACGCAACTCGGAAAACTCGCCAAACAACTTCACAATTCAGATAAGTCCCTCAAAACACTTTCGGTTTATTTCCTCTCCCCCTTTGTGTCCGTTATCCGCTCATTCGCATAAGAAGCGTCCCTCTTTGCAGTCACTTTTTCAACCGCGCGAGGGGGGATCGCTTTTCAACCTACTCCGTTTCCCCAGAACTCACGTTCATTGTCAGTCAATTTCTGACCGCACTCGGTTATCCGCCATTCCGCTCGATCTCCAGCGCTTGTCCCGGTCAGTCCCGCTTGTGCCCGAAGGCCACTCAGCGATTGGATCGTTGGGGCAGAGAGAAGCCTCAATTCTCTGGCATTGCGCCGTCGGAGAGGCTACCCCTCAAAAGCCCCCGCGGAGGTGTCACTTGAGGTGGCACCCCTCCAGGCCATTGGTGTGCGATTCGCTCTTCCCCGTAGTGGGGAGAGCATCCGCCATCGCTGTTCCGTAGACCGGAAGTCCTGGCTGTCTTCTTCTTCCAGTGCTGCTGCATCATCGTAGGTTTGCAGCTTAGATACACATCTGAACAGCATACTCAAGACTGCAACAGCACAGACCTTTTGATGCAATAATTCAGAGCAAGAGGTGTCAGTTATCAGACACTGTTAAAAAAAAATATTGCTAATGTTTTAAGTATGTTTTTATTTTAAGTAAAAAAAATCCTTTGTGTTTGTGTCCTTTATAAAGTTTATATCTCCGCTACTTGGCATTACATTTTATGTAACATGGGGCCTGGCCCAACAAGGTCCCACTTATGTCAGACCTGGCCCTCATAACAAATGAGTTCGACACCCGTGCTTTAAAGGCTATTTTTATGGACTAGCTTACATGCATAATCCAGCATCAACCCCCATACAGACTTGGACAGAAAAACCTGCATGAAACAGACTATAGATACAACTAGCAATCACTGCAGCAAGTGTTAGGAGGGGGAAACAGCTCCTATAATCTTATGGTTCTCTCACTAGAAAATGGCATGAGTTCAGTTTGCTACAGTACTGTTGGCTACTGGTGTATAGTATTTGCAGGGGGAAGGAACTGCTTTGGGTCCTTTCTGGGAGTTAAGCAGGAGACAAATACTTAAATTCAGACAGGCTGATACAGCTGATTTCACAAAGGTGCCAAACCCCCACCGTTTTTAAGGGCACTATATCTTAATCCACACACCTATACACAGTAGGTGAATTTGTGTTATAACGAGATAATCTTACATAGAAATTTTACCTCCTCACCTGGATTTGGAGATTTTGTACCTTATTTCAAGGAAAAGGCTGAATATTTTTATCTAGATGAGACACAACAGGCACCCTTTGTTCTTTATCAAATTTTACTGTACATGTATTGAAATGTCAAAATATATACTTTCCTTAAAGACATTTATTGAATACAAAACTTAGTTACATTTGCCTTAATATAAAGAATTACATGCACAGCAAGTCGTAAAAATGGTTGAGATCGGTCAGATTACTAACTGGCTTAATATTTCCAGAATGTAGATCTCTACTTTCATCAACTGCACATTACTACAATATTTAAAAATCTGCAGTACTTGTAACCAACACAATCATGGAGAGGTTACATTTTACATTATGACACATACTTGTTTGGCATTTGTTGAACTAATTCATGATCATGTTATGTACCTTTTCATAGTTCCATAAAAGTTGTGAACAAGTATTTGTTGGTCTAGACTTTAATGCATATTTATTTGTGGAACTGAGGTTTTTAGGGGGGGAAATTATTTAACAAAAACAGACTTAGTCAGCACTACAGGCAACAGTTAAACATTTATCCTATTTATAGTACATCCTCATTCTGGACAAGAATACAGAAATGTCCAGCTGAGGCTACCAAGACATTAAGGGACCATACTAAAGTTATTCCTACATAACTGGGCTTGTTTTTCTAGAAATTGTTTACTAGTCGTACTGCATCTATTCAAGAACTGTGGATCATACACCCACTCAACATGATCCGTTTCTCCAATTGTAACCACTGCAAGGAAGTTTATTAATTATCTTAGAAGTCAAAGCTGCATGTTTTCTCCCCCTGTGCCTTAAGGTTCTGCATACAGGGTATTATTGTCAAACCTTTGGAACAAGGTTTATAATCCCCACTACCAATTTCAACACTGAAAAATAAAATGGCAGTTAGAATTTCCTTTCAAGGTAAGCAAACTTTTATAGGGTAGTTATGATTGTTCCTAATTAATCTCAGCCTATTCCTGAACACTGATATGGGTCATAAATTCTCTCTCACACACATTTTTTAAAAAGTTTTTTTGTCAAGAAATCTGAATCAAGCTTATATACAACAGCAAGGTCTTAAAGGTACAAAAATAACATCTATTTGCCAATTGCTTTGCAAGTTCTCAGATGTACATGCATGCAAGATAATTTAGAGTATTTGCAATTAGGAAATGTTTTTATTCCTAATCAACAGAATGGATATGTATCCAAAATAAACGTAATGCCCAATACTGCAATATTAATCTCCGCATACATATGTGCTGATAGTTTTCATATTACTTGATTTCTTAAAAAAAAAATTCTCTACATTACAATGCACTAAAATTACAACAGCTATCACAGACCTACATGTAAAAAGAAATGTCATGATGTACAAAGTAGAAAGCAAAAAACACTCATCACCATGCAGAAATCTAAGAACTGCATTAAATGCAATTTTTAAAAGTTAAAGCAATTTCAGCACTCAGAACATTAAGTTTGTAGAATCTTCCTTGACAAAACACTATGTTATAAAAAAAGGCAAAAATTTAACATTTTTGCTGGTGTGTACAAAATATTTAAATCCATGGGAACAAATATCCAATCTTCGCGTTCTTCCCATCAGATCACGAAATGAGCTAGAAGAGAAGTTGGTTTACATTTTTAATCTTTTGCAGACTATTTAAACCCACCCTTGTTCAAAACATACTATGACTGCCATTTTAACCACTTACTTGGAACTAAGTTCCAAGGAAATTAACATGACTCACACTCAATCTAAACAGCATGCCAGCACACTACTAGGAAGGGCTTTAGATCTCTGGCATGCAATGAAGTGCACACCAATTCTCTGCACAGGTGACAGCACAATATAAATGAAGAAGAAGAAGAGATTGGATTTATACCTAGAGATGTAAAATTTCCGTAAATTTTGAAGCTCTGAAAACCCCCCAGGGTTCCCCCCTTTTTTTTCCAGGAAAAAAACCTGAAATTTTCAGAAAAATTGAAAAAAATGCTACATTAGCACGTCTTTTTTCTTTTCCAGATTGTCTTAATATCTTATTCATCATGTTAAAATAAAACGTTCCATAATAAATTTTTCTTTTATTTTTTCAATTTTTCGGGAAAAAACAAAAAGGGCTTCAGGAAAAAAACGGAAAAACCCGTTTCCCCCCCTAATTTTTCCAGTTTTTTTCTGGGCCTTCACATCTCTATTTATATCCCGTCCTTAGTGAAGGGGAGTCTCAGAGCGGCTTATAAACTCCTTTCCCTCCCCCTCCCCACAACAGACACACTGTAAGGTAGATGGAGCTGAGAGGTCTGACAGAAACTGCTCTTTTTCAAGAACAGCTGTGCCAGAACTATGGCTTGCCCAAGGTCATCCAGCAACTGCAAGTGGAGGAGTGGGGAATCAAACCCGGTTCTCCCAGATTAGAGTCCATGCACTTAACCAGTACACCAAACTGGCTCCTCCTTGAGCCTTTGCAAAACCTTACATGGAAGCACTTTTGCCTTGCCATCTTCTCACTTAAATCAGACCTTACTTCCAACTAAACATGGCAGGGACTGGGCAGTAGATACAGAATACCCCTATACTACCATGCACCTCTGCTTTCCTTTCTGCTGCCACCACTGATCTTTTCTTTAAACTGCATTGCTGAGTATGCAGTACTCACGTCAACTTATTGTGAACACTGCTTCGCTGAGTACGTAGTATTCACCTCAACTTACTATGAACATAACTTATTGTGAAGTTCCAATTTAGGGACAAATCCTTTCTGCAAAATTGGAAGGTACTCTTGAGCAGTTAAAGAAAAAAAACAACTGCTGGAACATGTATTACGATTCAAAACTGTTAAGCAACGTGAGCCAGTGGACTGATTCAGAAGTTAACACAGATGGTTCTTCAATGCATATGGGTTAACCCTGCAGCCAGGTATATATGCATTTATTTAAAATTACTGTATCCTATCCTGATATGCTAACATGTCCAAAATTGCTAAGTAATTTTTCTGTCACCCCTGCTTCTACTTCCTCAAGGTTCAAAAAGACTGAGCTGCATCTCCTGGTATTCTTCTACCTGCTAGCTATGTTCTTCAGCTAGCCTTCTCCTTGTGGTATCCTCTTAGGTCTGTACAGAAACAGCTCTAGGTCATGGGCCCTCTCTCTGCTGGAGGCATAGTCCTCTGGAATGGCCTACCAGAGTGGGTGTGGAAGATGCTTTCATTTGCTACATTTTAAAAAGGAGCTGTGCAAGACAGCTCTATTTCAAGGGGCGTGAGGGTGGGAGAAGATCAACTCTTTATTCAGCTGTGTCTTTTTAATTTGCACATTATTTTAGTTTTGTTAATGAACTCTTTATGTTTTGGATCCTTGAAATTTTGTTGCACTGTTAAGCCACCTTGACTCTAAAGATATGTAGGATACAATTATTTTAAATAAATACATACATACCTGACTGCAGGGTTAACCCATTTAACCACTCCTATACTGGTTCTCTCCTAAACTAATAGCTTTGTAGTTAACCAATTCAAGTAAAAATTTAACATCCACTCAAAACACTTATTAAAAGTCCAAAAGTTATCCAAACATCTGAAACATGAAGTCCTTCTGTCACACCACGTTTCCCTCATCCAGTATTTACCTCTTCCACTGTCTTTTTGATGAAATCTTTCCTGTTAGACAAGTCATAATTGGGATAGCTTTTATATACCTAGAGGAAACAATATAACATGAATGTCAGTTGAAGTAGTACAATTAGAATACATTCCAGATGATCTAAGAAACTTACCTAAACAAAACCAATGAAACTGCCTGTAGTATTTGTTTGAATGTTTTCCCACTTTTCTAAGATCAGCAGAGCCCTCTAAGATCCTTCACGCCCCCTGCTGTTCCCTCACTACATGTGTAGACATGAATGTTCAGTGAAGAGATGCCTGGTTTGTTTAAATGAAGGATCTTCCTTTATCCTGGATACTGAACAAAAACTTCTACCTAGATGTGCATGAAAATGGAGGGCAAAGACTCCAGGATCCAGAGTAGCCCCTATGCTTTGGTTGATCAATATTTAGTTTTTTGGACCTTTTTCACACCAAATACAAAACAAATATTTTATTTGGTTTGCAAATTAGTATGGTCCTTATTACGGAAGATTTCTGGCAAAGTCTAGGCAGGATACAAAACAAAAAGCTCCCTCTATTCCAACTATTCCTCATTTTCTTTATCTTAATACATTATATTCTGCAAAGATTAAATGTGTACAATCAAAAATGTTTGGTGTATGTAGTGACAAACCAAAACCACGACACCTATGTTTGTGACCACACAACCTCTGCTGTTTTGTTAGCCACCTTGAGAAGGTAAAGTGGAATATAAATAATTGGAAATCTATAAACACTAATAACCAAACAAGTTCACACCAGACAACAATTGGCTGCAATTCTACGTAAGCTTACCTGAAAGTAAGCCCCACTGAACAAAGTGTGACTTACAAAATATGAGTCAGATTTCATTGCATATAACATGCAAGTTTCTATGTACTACTAGTCTACCTCTAACCATTAGCAAATACCTAACATTTAAGTTACACTCGTAAGCACACTGACTGATGAAAATCAATAGGTTTAGGACTGAAATCTAATTAAAGTTTTTTTTTAAGAAAACAAAAAAACCCAAGAACAAAGTAAGAAAGAACAAAAAGAAGACAGAATGCTCATGTTATTGCTACATAGGAATAATCACCTCAGATATAAATGGGATGAAAAATGCAACCAACTGCTCTTTAATAAACCGGAAGATAAAGAGAACACAACCTGTAAATGCTGAAGAGCAATGCACTGGCAGTATGCAGAAAGTGAACATAAACTGAAGCATACCATGTTAGCTCAGCCTTACCATAAGGAACTAGCCTATAAGACAGATACTGTTTCAAGTAGAAGAGTACTATACATCAACTAGTAATATCCATTCAAGGTAGACAGGTGGCTTTCTTAGGCCTTATGCCTGAGACTTGGAGAGATCTAGGGCTCAAGAGTTTATACATGCAAAATAGGTTCTTTACCACTTTTAGCTCTCTTTCAGGTCTCAATTTACATACACTCTGGTAAGGTAACTGATAAAATATTGCCAGTAGTGGATTTAGATATTGTCAAAGAAAATAAAAGGCATCAATTTAATTTACTGTCTTTTTTCTGCACCAAGAGAACACAAGAAGTGATGGAAAAATATATATGCACACATGCCCACGCTCAGTAACATACTAGTGTACAAAACTAACATCAAACCCTTACCTCTTTACAAATCTGCTTCATGGTGACTTCCTCTAAGTTAGCATTAGCTAACAGCTTCTTCACAGTTTCCTTCAGATCTTCATCTGTAGGTGGCTTTTTCAACTTTTTAATCAAAGGCTCATCATCTGAACTATCCTCAGACTCACTTTCTAAATACAAAAGATATTTTGTTCACAGAGACTGGAATTATGAACTTTGGAGAAAATTTTATAAAATGGGTGAAATCAATCTATACTTCAGTCTGCAAAAATAATTGTTAATGCAGAACTAACCAAAACTTGTGTTATTCAAAAAGGTACAAGACAAGGGTGTCCACTTTCTCTACTCTTATTTTATTTTAGTACTTGAAATACTGAACAGAGATGTAAGACGGGGAGAAAATTGAGGGGATAAAGATGAAAGAAGAGACTTATAAGTTAGGAGCGTATGCAGATGACTTGGTGTTAATTTAAGAAGATCCTTTAAATAAAGTCGACTTACTGAGGACTAAATTAAAAGAATTTGGTGAGTTAGCAGGTTTTAAGATAAATAATAAAAACAAAGATTTTAAAGAAAAATATGAGTTTAAAACATCAAACTGAATTAATGAAGAAGACAGGTTTTAAGGTGGAGACGGTGGTAAAATATCTGGGTATCACCCTGACAAATATGAATTGTATGTTATTCCAAAACAATTATGCTCAAATATGGAAAGAAGTTAAAAAAGACATTAAGATGGGACAAATTGCAATTGTCTTTAATGGGAAGAATAGTGGTGGTCAAGATAAATAATAAAGAAATAACATTCTAGGTAAAACAAACAATACCAATTTTGATAACTGATACATTGTTTAAACAATGGCAAAAAGACATCTCTAAATTTGTGTGGCAAGGGAAATAACTGCACAATAAGCAGTATTCTTTCTAAGCTGAGTTAGTGTGAGCTAGCTCACAGTTTTTTAGTTTCCAGATCACACATGTTTGTCTTGGCTCAGGAAGGATGGCTCCAAACTAATTGATGCAGCAGCCAAATCACTCTCTCACAACTTTAATGCCAGTAGCTCACAAAGTAGAATTTTTGTTCACAAGACTCCACAGCTTAGAGGGAGCATTGACAGTAAGTATAAAGTACTGCAAGATGCAAAAGCGAGAGGAGGATTTTAAAATATACTTTGCTGCTTGTTCCTTGGTGTGAATGAAAGAATGGCTTTCACTGAGAAACAAATGATTGTTTGAGTTGGAAGGTCATGACATAAGATTTGGGAGGCATGCCTATTTGTGGTATAAAGGTTAATTTTGATCTGGGATCAAGGAATAAAGGTTAATTTTGATCTGGGATCCCAGATCACCGAAGACTGTGACATGAAATTAAAAGACGCCTGCTCCTTGGGAGGAAAGCGATGGCGAACCTAAACAGCATGATAAAAAGTAGAGGCATCTCCCTGCCAACAAAAGTCCGCATGGTCAAAGCCATGGTATTCCCAGTAGTCATGTATGGCTGCAAGAGTTGGACCATAAGGAAGGCCGAGCTCCGAAGAATAGGTTCTTTTGAACTATGGTGCTAGAGAAGACTCTTGAGAGTCCCTTGGACTGCAAGAAGATCAAATCAGTCAATCCTAAAAGAAATCAACCCTGACTGTTCCCTGGAAGGCCAGATAATGAAACTGAAGCTCAAATACTTTGGCCACCAAATGAGAAGGGAGCACTCACTGGAAAAGACCCTGATGCTGGGAAAGATTGAAGGTCAAAGAAGACGGGGACGGCAAAGGATGAGATGGTTAGACAGTGTCATAGATGCAACGAACATGAAGTTCAGCCAACTTCAGAGGAAGGCGGAAGATAGGAAGTCCTGGCATGATCTGGTCCATGGGGTCACGAAGAGTCGGACTCGACTGTGCGACTGAACAATAACAATGTTGATTTTAAATATCATTTCGTTAGATATCATTTTGCCATTCTGAGAATATGGAAAAACAGGTTGCTTACCTGTAACTGATGATCTTCGAGTGGTCATCTGTGCATTCACACCCATGGGATCTAGTGTGCACACGCTGGATCGATCGGTGCTGTAGCAAGTTCTTTTAACGGATTTTCGTGCCCAGTCCTTTGGGCATCCGAAGGA